GCAGTGGATATTTTGATAAAAGAAGCAGAGCGTAGTTCTTCCTTCTGTTAGTCTTCCCCTGACAAGCTGGCACTGGACATTCGGGTAGAGTAGACAAAATGGCCGCCTTTATACACGACGGATTGAATGTTCTACGTCTTCTGATTGGTTAACCTTCTATTGGTGGACTATAAAGTGAGTCATGTCATTTGGGCTAACTCACTAGTAGATACATATACACAAAAAACTGCAACAACTTATCCACGATTTATTCAAGTTTGATCTACATATTACCTGTTAGCAGAAGACATAAGCAATATTTAATCTGAGCAATTCATCCGAAGCAAGGCGATAAATCCACTAAGACGTAAGAAGGAATATCCTTCTTACGATAATGTGAACGATTATCAGAAAATGAAAAACATTATTAAATAGTGAGTATAATAAATGAATAGAAAAACATTGACATTGCATTTAATTTTTTTCCCGAAAGATTCATCGATAAGCTGTTTCAGATAGGAAGAGAAAAGTTTAAAATCGTTTTGTGTCAGAACCACCCTGTTCACAACCGAGCAATGGTAAGAGGAAAATAATCATTCAGGCCTTCAATAATGGTACGAACATCCATACTCTGGCTTCCATCTTCAAATTCCATTCAAGATCCATCAAGAGAATGGTGGGTAAGTTTAAAAAAGACAACAGTAGAGAGGAAAACTGGATTAGAAGGCCACAACAGGAAGAGGATCATCATTTCAAGTTATAAGGTCAATTAGAAAAGATACAACTCAATTCATACGACGATTAGTACGGGAGAGAGGAGATTCAACTATGACAGTTCAAACAGTGAAAATGACTTGAAATTGAAATCGTATGTGAAACCTATGAGGACAGAAGTTTAGAGAGCGTAAGAAAATGAGGTAAGTAAGAAAATGATCCTGGAACTATATATATATATATATATATATATATATATATATATATATATTCGAACTTAATTTCCATACTTCCCGAGATTCCGATCTTATGATTGCTGATCATGAACATTTCATTTTCATGATTGTGATGATGATCGATTTATGATCGATTTCATCACGATTCTTTTGTTAAGCTTGGGGTGTAATTATAAATTCTTATTCGTCAAAGTAGAGTCTCAAGTATTATAAAAACCTCGGGAGAATTTTAGTAAGATATCTTTAATCGTTTCTGAGATACAACGATTCAATTCTTAATCTAACAATTGGACAATTTTTGTTGTTACAGCATACATATATATATATATATATATATATATATATATATATATATATATATATAAATTTATAATATATATATATATATATATATATATATATTATTTATATAATATATGAATATATATATATATATATAATTTATATAATATATATAAGATATATATACAATATAATAATATATTTAATATATAAATATTATATATATATATATATATATATATATATATATATATATATATATATATATATGCTAAGTTTCGTAGTTTTGTTTTCTGTATTAATGCTATTTGCACGTAGTAGATATACCAGAACTACTGCCAAGTAGTTTTTAATTCAATGTATTCTTTCACCTAAAAGAATTGATAATTAAGGCTATAGAGGAAGGCATGGCGGTTTCGTACCTCGCCATGTATATTTGGGCATCGACTGGATGTCGAACTCGTCATGCCCGTCACAAATTCAACGCCGATAACCATCAACGATACTTGAAAATACGCGACATTTTACAGATTTAACGTTTTCGTAATACTATTTATGTCTCTTTAAGTCTTTGTTGATAATAAAATTGTGAATGTATGCTCAATTCGTTTGCTTGTAAATTCTGCTTTTCCCTGTATTAAATGCATATTCCTATAACATCGAATGTCCTTCTCTGTATAACCTACTTATCTTTCATTAATTCTCTTGGATGACTCCGGATAATATATGATTATAACTTATGAACCACTCATTCATTTTTCTTTGTGTAGTTTCGGTTGACATCCCCTAAATTAACGCAATTTATAATCGTTGTCTCTCGTTACAAGAGTAACTTCATCTGGATTCTACTTACACTTGCTAGCAAACTCCAAACCGAAGCTCTTAGCTTATTTTCACCAACGCAAAAAATCTGAAAGCGCCTCTGGTTCGTTCATCTTAACACTGCTGTTAAGGAGGTCGTAATTGCGATGAACACTTCTAATCCGGTTGAGCCGCCATTGTTTCATTTGATCCTTGTCTTCCTCTCGCAAATTGGTGATGATCGCATCAACGTTCGAGGTCACCTGAGTTGCGGCGAAAGCCACAGAGACCTCGGTCTAACAGATTGAGCGAATTAACAGATACAAAAGCTCGGGTTGACTGATGGTTATATCGACAACTTTAAAGCATGTATCTCGAAATTGGCTAGGTTGTAGATCAATTGACGTCGCCCTTTGTTATTCAAGTGGCATATCTGTCTCTCCGAAACACCTGAGAAAACCTCATAAATGTATATTGCAAGGCGATAAAATTATATAGAGAAAGTAAGAACTAGGAATTTGTCCTTGCAGTATAAATTTCTTAAAAATGATGAATGATATTACAATGTCTCTGTCTCTCTGTATATATATATATATATATATATATATATATATATATATATATATATATATATAGAGAGAGAGAGAGAGAGAGACTTTCTTTTCTCCTCTTTTAAATCCCCCACATCTCGTAAAATTCTCTCTGTTAAGGTTTCATCTCCCTCCTCCTCATACTTACACTTTCTCTAAATTCTGTTTTGATTTCCGGAGTTGTTTTTTCTGTTTTCATTTTGAATTTGTAGGTCTGATGATTTGGATCGTATTTAGGATTCCAATGGAATAAATTATGACCATAGAATATTAGTGTTTAAGCCTTTTTATTATATCCTTACTCTGTCCTAGACATTGAGTTCTACCTGGATTCTTCCTCTTGGAAAATTTTTTCTGAAAATATACATGTATGGGTATTTTTTTTTTATATATATATTTTTTATATGTATGTATATTTTCCACTAACATTATCTATCTATCTATCTATCTATCTATCTATATATATATATATATATATATATATATATATATATATATATATATATATAAATATATATATCCGTTATAATATAACATACGATCATCACAAATACCTAACGCGTGGTAATGATGTGCACCTGTATGTGTTATGTTGTTTTCATGGAGAGAGTTTGTTTTTGTGCTGCACAAGCGACTGGTCATTTTAAACAAATTTTAGTGCAGATTGATCAGTAGTTGGATGACTAAAAATTCAAGATAAATACATGCAACTCAGAAATCCCATGGCGAGGAAGAGATTTCACATTCACTGTTTTCGTGCCATATGTGATATAAAATTGGATGACAGGGTCAAGAATAGTGCAATACTGAAGAAATGTAACAATAACACAATCATTGAAACAATTCTAGCAAAGATAACATTTAGGTGGGATGGTCATGTAGTGAGAATGGATGAGCATAGGCTTCCAAAAAATGTGCTGTATGGACAACTACCAAACTCTAAGCGTTCAGTTGGACGTCCAAACTTACGCTACAAAGACTAATTTAAAGACATCTTGAAAATCCTCAGCGTTGATCTGAAAACCTGGGGGGCCTAAGCATCAAACCTAAAGGAGTAGCGAAAAACACGTTTCATTAATTTAAAAGGTTTTGAAGACAGTAGACTGAAGCACTGTGTTCAGCTTCGTCAAGCTCTGAAGATGAGGCGCCATCAAAATTCTGCTTTAACAAATTTCATCTGTCAGTGTGGCTTTGTCGTCCTCAACAAGGCTGGCCTATTATCATACTTAAGAAATCACAAATGATATATGCCTTTCCCTTTCCCTTACCTGAAAGGCACCATCCAATATTGACCCTCATTTATCGCTCACGATAGAAGAGTCCTATATATATATATATATATATATATATATATATATATATATATATATATATATATATTTAAGACGTATTGTGTTGATATTAATATGAAATTCATTAAGAAAGGCACTGTAGTTTTTCTAACAGAAGTACTTTTGATCTTTTCCACGATCATCTTCAGGGGTAAATTACAAATCAATGTTACTGTATCTGCGAGAAAATCTGCATTATTTCTTGATGGAGAGTTTTTTTTTTTATAAAAAAAACGCAAGAACGCTCTCTGTAATTATTTTAGAATTTATCCTTCGTAACTACGGAATATCTGCAAAAGAAGACTTTCAATATCATGGAACTGGCCAGAAATTGGTAGAAATGCAAAATGATATTTTGTTATATATGCTTCAAGTCGTTGCCGCTACACTCGTAATACTTTGTAGATTGTTGGTTGGTTGGAGTATTATGTTTTTATTTATGATTTTCGTGGTATATTATATCGGTGTTCTCAACAAGTATTTTCCTGCATTGTGAAGTTGCACAGAAATCTGTTCTTCGATGTTGTGCAATGGAACTTGCATCCGGCAAGTTAAGTGTAAGACGTCTTGATAATGTTGTAGTTGTAAAACCAACCTATATACCTGCTTTTTTTGTCAGAGATACCATCTCCAAAAGGACATTTAAACTGATATACTAGTTTGGTCATTTCCATTGATAGAGAAAAGTTATTGCGTATGATTAATTTGTTTTTGTTAAATTTAGTATACTATATAATTAGTTTATTTTTTTTTTTATTGGGATCCGTTGGATTAGTATAAATATCAATGGGCACAATGTTTCTATTTTATTCAATGAAACATGTTTGAATGCTTCCTAAATACACACACACAATAACACAAACGCACTCACAAAGACACATACACACACACGTATAATTCTGAAAACGTTATTTTTAAAAGTTAAACTTGATTCAGTTAGTATCCTTGTTATTATCTTATTTTATAAAGCAGTAAAATTAATAAAAGCCGTTTTAAATTGATAAATAATAAGCAAATACTTTCATGAATTGTTGTTTTCGTTTTGGTAAGAAACTAAAGCTAGACTG